CTTCCTTCCTTCCTTCCTTCCTTCCTTCCTTCCTTCCTTCCTTCCTTTCTTTCTTTCTTTCTTTCTTTCTTTCTTTCTTTCTTTCTTTCTACAATCCTGAACAGAGTTCAGCAGTCTTATGAATTAGAACAAAGTTGACATCCACAGACATAAAATGGACCACGAGTGGAGGCCTAGTAATAGGAACTATACGTACCCAGCTTAGGAGACTTAGAGGGCCCACACACTGCCAGCTACCAAACCCCAGCCGGCCTTTGCTGACTTCTGTCTCCAGTTTTCTCCTCCATAAATGGGGATAGCACACACCAAGCCCAAGGCTGAGGTGCCCACAGTCAAGTATCATTTCCCATCTCTTTTTACCCAACATTCAAATCTTGAGAAGGCTCTGACACTAGTGAGTGCCTGTTTTGCCTCAAACCAATGCCCAGGCCTCTCAGAGTTGACTAAACCTGAATTCCATAGATCAAGTGGATGATCCCAGGTGCAAGTCAAGATCAGCTGTGATTTTTGCTGAGGTGCCTGGCCCCAGACCTCAGTCTCCTGCCTATAAAAATGGAGACAATATCACCATAGTGTTTTGAGAATACAGTGAGCCTCCTCATAGTGCACAACATGGCCTCAGCATGGTATCTGGGTTGTCCTCAGTCCCTTGGATTTCATGGGATGCCTTCCCGCAGTGAGAGGATTAAAGGGTAGGCGGAGGCAGCTACTTCCCCGAGTGGTGCAGCCCTCCTGTAGCACAGGACTTGACAGCCCACTTTCACCGTTCTCAGTCTCTCAGAGTAAGTCTACTGCCCAAGCTGACCGCCCTATCAATTGCTGGACTGAAGTTTGGGGTCACCCAGGTATGAAGGGGCATCTTCAGCTCTCTACTCCACAGGCCTGCCCAACCCTGTTCCCAGATCTGAACCTCCAGGCCCACTTCCTGTCTGGAACCCCTCCTTCCATATAACCCAGGGTTCCCTTACCTTGTCAGGATCAGAGTATAGTGGTCCTATTGACTCCACCCCGGGGCACCCTGAAAGATCCAGGTAGGGAGACAATTTCAGAGCAGCTGGAGGTGTGGGAAAGAAAAGACAGAAGAGGTAGAAGGGCCCCAAGAGGAAGTGGCTGAGCACTGTGGGCATACGTAATTTATTACAGGACTTTGTCCTCTGTCTCAGGAACATCCACTCCCACAGGCCTCCTGCAGCCCCAGCGAGCAGCCTGGAAACTGTCTGCTCTTCAGCGGGGCGGTGGTTGATCACTTACCAGAGGCCTCTGTGCCCAACCCCTGGGTGACAATCAACTGACCGTCCAGACAGTTCAGGGTCTCCGGAGGGTGGCAGAGGCTCCAAGGAAGCCAGGGAGGAACTCTGCTCTTAAGCACCCGTGTACTGGCTAGGGGCTAAGATATAGTATAGATATCAGAACCATAGTGGGCCCCAGAAGCCCAAGCAGCTAGGATAAGCACCCGTCATCAATAGGCCAATTTTTAAAAAGTAATAATCAAAAACAGAAAAAGGAGGTTTATTCATTACCTTAGCCAGTGTTTTATTGCTGTGAAGAGACACCATGACCATGACAATGCTTATAAGGGAAAGCATTTAACGGGGGCTAGCTCATTGTCATCATGGCGGGGAGCATGGCAGCGTGCAGGCAGACAAGGTGCTGAGGAAACAGCTGAAAGTTCTACATCTGGATCCGCAGGCACCAGGAAGAGGGAGACCCTGGGCTCAGGATAGGCTTTTTGAAACCTCAAAGCCCACTCCCAGTGACACACTTCTTCCAACAAGGCCACACCTCCTAAAATAGCGCCACTCCCTGGTGACCAGGTATTCAAATCTATGAGCCTATGGAGGCCAGTCTCATTCACACCACCACCTTCATTATTGCCATACTGTGTAGACTGACAAAAGGGTCCAGTAACCCTCCCAAGTCCACCTCTGGATCCTGATATGAGGTCTAGGTTTAAACAGAGAGCAAGACGTAGTCGTAGCTGGGCACTCCTGGTCAAAGACATGGTACTTCCCAAGACCAGCCCACCAGTGTCTCAGCTCATCTTTCTTGAAAGTGAACAAACAAGCTATCAGAACCATAAAGTCTCTTCAGGGAACACAAGTTCCCCTTCTGACTGGCACTGGGCTTCAGCCTTCTCCCAAGCTGAGATTCCCAAGGAAGTTCTAATTTCTGGGCACCTTTGTCTCAATACTCAAATAGCTAAGGGGGGGGGGGACACAAGTGTCTCTTTCGAATGTCTGTATTTCTAGTTTGCGTCTCAAAACTTGTAAAACTCTAGCATCCCCTAAGTGTGTGGAGTGTGTTTTATTGCTCACAATTTATAGCTCCCTGATAACACTTAAGATTGTGCTCCAGTGGTGGGTCAGACTTCATTAGCTTTCAGATACTGAGCACAGGAGATGCTTGGAGAGAGGCAGCCAAAGAGGGCACAAAGGCTCTGTGCCCTGCTTTGCCATACCCTGCCTCTGTATCTCCTACCCTGCCCATTTATCTCTATCCTCTGTCACATCCCTTTATAACAAAGTGGTTAGCATCTCTAAGGATTTACCTAGTTCTGACAGTCCATTCCTAGAAGAGCTGAGGAAGGGGCCTGAGAGATGGCTACATAAGCCTGACATCCTCAGTTTGATTTCCAGAACCTGTAGTGGAAGGAGAAAACTTACATTTGCAAATTGTCCTCTGACCATTGACTTTAAGTATATGTTCAGTGGCACACTCACACAGACAAACACAACCACGACGACAACAATAAAATAACCTAGGAGGAGATGGGAAGCCTTAACCTTCGACACCTAACTCTAAATCTAGATGAATAGTGACAGAATTAAACTGCATTATAGGAGACCTGGTTGGAGAACACTGGAAAATAGCTTGGACAGCTCTCATTACAGTGTTCAGTGTTGCATGTAAGTAGAAAGGAAGAAGATTTTGTTTTCACTATATAGGAGTTTCCTGGGGCACACTGCAACCCTTTTAACAGAAAAAGGGTTGTCTGGACAGCTAGACTGCCACGACCATCCCCGGAGCAGGAAGTTGGCTAGGACTGACTTGAGCTGTTTGTTTGTTTTGTTTTCTGATATAGGGTTTCTTTATGTAGCCCTGGCTGTCCTGGAACTCTGTAGACCAGCTCTATAGAGCAGGCTGGCCTTGAACTTAGAGATCTTCCTCTCTCTGCTGGAATCAGAGGCAGGTACCACCATTGCCCAGCTTTTTTTTTTTTCCCTTAAGAGAGAGTCTCATGTGTCCTTGAACCCATATGCTATATCACCAAGAATGACCTTGAACTTCTTCTTTTCTTTTTTAAGGTTTATTTATTTATTTCACAAGTGCTCTAATTGCATGTACAACTGCATGCCAGAAGAGGGCATCAGATCATATTATAGACGGTTGTGAGCCAGCATGTGGTTGCTGGGAATTGAACTCAAGACCTCTGGAAGAGCAGCCAGTGCTCTTAACCGCTGAGCCATCTCTTCATCCCGACCTTGAACTTCTTACCTCCTGCCTACACCAGAATTCTGGGATTACAGGTGCATATCATTATACAGTATTTACTAAGTCCTGGGGATTGAAGCTATGGCTTTATACATGCCAGGAAAGTGCTCTACCAACTGAACCACATCCATAGGCCCCTTTGAAGGGAAGTAGATCAAGGAGAGTTTCCTGGGAGGAGCCAGACTAGAGGACTGGTAGCATCTAGAAATGCTGTCCATACCTTCAAAGTCAGGCAAGCATGGGTTTCTTGGATAACAAGAGGCCTCAATAGTCATTGTAGTTGGCTGAACTAGAGCCGATCAGTTCTCTCTCTCCATTTCGGAGACACTTGGCCCTGCAGGCACACACTTAAATATGAGCTGAGCTGTCAGCTGAGATACAGTTGAGGCCAAGGCAAGGGTGGCAAGCAGAAGCATCAACCTTCATTGGGAACATAAAGTAAGTATTAGTGGAGGAAAGAATAAAGCGGTGGGCTTCAGGGTGGAGACTTGCCAGAAACTCATGGCTCCTGAACTTCCTGTGCTCTCAAGGCAGGCTCCAGGAAGCCCCTAGCCTGCCTTTTCTCAATGTTCCTGTTGAAGGATTGGGGATATAGCCCAGTTGCTAAAGTGCTTGCCTGGCAAGCATGAAGCCCTGTGTAAATGAGGCACGCTGGCCTCTTTCTGTAGTCTGAGCCAATATGTAGAGGCAGGAAGAGGGGAAGTTGCAAGTCATCCTTGGCTACAAATCATGTCTGAGACCAGTCTGAGCAATGTGAGTCCCTGCCACAATAAAACAAAACAAAATATAAATAATGACAAAACCCATAAAAACAAAACAGAAACAAGTGTTCCTATTTCAGAAGCATTTCAGATAGGCTTCAGTCAGAATAGGAAATTGGGAAGTGACATGGGGTACTTGGGGAGAGCTGTCACCTGTTCCCTTCGCCAGCTCTTCATTCAGAATACGCCCCAGCTCTGACTAGCCCTCAGCCCCCTAAACTCCTGTCTAGTTTCTGACGCTCGTTTTTGTTATGCCCATTACAAGTCCTGTCCCTACCGAGCACCAAGATGATTGGTTTTGCAAAATGTTTATCCACAAATTGGACAAGTAAAGATAAGGGAGAAAAGCTTCGATCTCCCTCATCAGGGTACAGGTTAAGGGCACCTCAGTGTAAGGAAGTATAGCCGAAACCTGAGGTCTGATGTTCTTCACTTTACCAAAACCCTAGCTAGAAACCGGGAATTAGTAGAAGGAGTGGGGTTTATTCACAGTTTGGGCCAGAAAGAAATCTGATTCTCTCTGCTTTTCCAGCAGCAGTATTAAAATTGATAGGTGAGAGGAAAGAAGACCCAGACAATACACACGTTAAGATTTTATTTCCCAAAATATATTCCTGGAAGACAGTTCTCCTCTGCAGATCCACCTCTGGCCATTCCTCACCAGGTGCCAGGGATTCAGGCTAATCTCACTCCAGCATGATCAGATAGGGTCTCTTGTAGCCCAGCCTAGTATTGAACCTTCTGTGTGACCAAGGATGACCTTGAGTCCCTCATGCCCAGCTCTTACCTCCTAAGTATTGAGACTGATTACAGGGACACACCACTACATTTGAGACAGCGTCATATGTGGTTCAACTGGCTTTGAATGCACTAAGAAACTGAGGCAAGCCTTTAATCCTGACCTCAAGCCTCCAGGCTGCTACGCTTGAGTGCTTAAACTTCAGGCACGCTTCAGCCACACTTGGTGCACTTCTCATTCGTAGGGTTCTGAATACACTGCTATAGAAGCAGGATGGGCTGAGTTGAGAAAGGTGGATGGCAGGAAGGGAAAATAAAGTATCTGGTGTGTGCCCATCTAATGAGCATCATGGCTCTTCCAGATGGCAAGGTTAGTGTGCTTGGAAAGTGAGGTTTTGTGCCCTCTGATGTCAAGAAAACTGCCTATCAGATATTTGCAAAGGTCCAAATGAAGGACAGTCTTTTTGACTGGTTTGTGATGTACAGAAGAGGCTTCCAAGTTTCTGAAACGCCATCTGGTAACCATTATGCAATATTTGGTAGAAATTCACCTTATAGGGATTGGAGAGACAATTCAGCCAATTAAATGCTTGCCTTGTAAGGCAAGCATGAGGACCAGAGTCTGACCTTAAGAAACCATGGAAAAATTCCTGAGCATCATGTACAGGTGTAGAGGTTAGAAATCCAAAATGGGTCCCACCTGACTGAAAGTCAAAGTATTGGCAAGCCAAAAGACAGGAGCCATTCTGAGGTTCTGAGGAAGCCTTGTTCTTTCCTGGTCCAGCTTCCAGAAGTCACAAGTGCAGTGGGATCACTATGACCCTGGCTTCCATTCTCATTGTTCTTTCTTAGCCTCTATCTCTTCAGCCTCCTTCTTTAACCTAAGATTCTCGTGGTTACCCTGAGTACAGAGCACACCTGGATGATCCAAAGTAAATGCCCATCTCAAAAAAATCCTCTCTGCCATAATTACAAGAAGATCCCATGGTCATGCCATGACACATGTCTGCAGTGTCTTTAGTAAGTACCATTGGAAGATATTCTCCATATGTTTCCACGAAGGGACTTCAGGAGACGTGAGGGAGCTGGGGCTTGCTGCTAAGAAACA